TTTATCGGGTCATACAAAGGCATTATAGGCTCTTTTGTCCTCCTGACCAGGAAAGACAATGGAGGAGCGGAGGTTTTTGAATACACAAAACCCAAATGTGTCTTGTAACTTAGACCAAATAATTAAATATTTTTAGATTAACAGTGAACTGCGTTAAAAAGGGAGTAAGTAAGTATGACAAAAAGAACCTAAATGTCAAAAAATCATTATAAACTAACATCACTTAGATTACACAAACAAAGCTAAAACAGTAACCTGGACAGTTAATCAAATCAACATCACAAATACCACAGTAACTGAATAGAACAACATCAGCAACCATTTAACATCTAATTAAACAGTCCTTGTTTAGCCCGTTAACTCTGTTAAGTTTGTCTGTCCACATATGCCACAGTACCGACGGTCCAAGAAAGTGAGGCTGCGTGGTCAGCTGCGCGGTCCTGTTAGCCAGGCTGATCAGAATTATGGTTCTGAAGTTCCAAACTGTTCTCTCTGCTGTGCGATGTCCGCGTGGTGCAGGTATCGCAGAACAAGCAGGCCTTTGTGTCCGTGCTATGATCCTTGGTCTGCGTGTCGGTGTCAGGCCTTTCACCGAGGCCAGAACGCTTATCACCGGGGTGGGTGTTGTGTAGCAGGAGCGAACGCCGATCGATGAGCAAGGAGAGAGAAGAGAGCATTCTCTGTGCTTGATGACAGGTCTGGTTTTGGTTTCAGAGGGAATCTGGCAATGAAAGTCTGTGTTTGGGCGTTTATGCTCTTTAAGACCATCTACCTTGCCCCCCATTGAGGGTGTCTGTGATTTTGCGGGCCTCCGTTTATATGACTTTAAGCTCACCACAAAACTCAGGCCTTTAGTTTCCTACAAGGCCCCCTGGAAAAATCCTTTGTTAGAGCCCATGGATATTAAATGTTTGTGTTTACATATATTTCAACAAAAACTCACAAAAAGCGAAGTCATTATAAGATGCACTCAAAAATGTTCGAAACATTGTTTAAATGACCTTCATGAAACAAAAACAAAAATCCATTCTGCCAAAGAAAGCGCTCAAATAGTAGTCGACAGACTCAACCAGAGCTTCAGTTCCCAACACAATCCACCCACATTACCTCTGCCCAAACAGCAAAAAGTAGGGCAGACTGCTGTGCAAAAGGTGTCTAATATAAGAAACAAATGTGCACAAATGTTTAACATATATATGTATATGATAGAGATGTACACATAATATACGTGGTTGTAATACATAGCATTGTGGATTAGTGTTCAAAATTAATCTTCATGGTAAATATAGTTGTATGTAGTATTAAATTACCATAAACTGCTCAATTTTAAGGCCATTGTACAACTGTTCATTTGTACAAACAACTAGTAACTCATAGAATCATGCAATTATGACAGTATCAGTAAGTATGGTTAGTTGCCTGAATGTATGTTTTTAGGCTACTTACTCAGCCGGTTCACTATTGTCTGCCATGCTTTTTCTCTATGTCTTATTACAGCAACCATGTTTCCCTTTTTACATACGCTTTCTTTATGTAAAGTATGTAAATGCATTCAGGCAACATCATGTCAGCGTCAAAGCATCTTATTAATAAAGTGTAAATATTTTGTCAATATCAATTGACTAGTTGTGCAACAAATAACCTCATTAACACATCCTCCTCCACCTCCTCCTACAAGACCTGATAAGCACCATGTATTTATTGAGAAAGGACACTTCTCTCAACTTTGTGCCATCATCGTATGCACCATTCAAATCCGGAGCACATGCTTTAATGTTACAACAGTGCACACAAACAAAGCTCTATAGGGAGAAGACAGGCATGAAGCCATGAACTTAAAAAAAAAAAAACACCCACAGTCTTCACATATAAATACTGTATGCCAGACTTCTATATGAAGCAAACAAATAGAAAATGTTTGCAGGAGCACAAGTACACATTTATGTGCAGTATTGTAGATGTTTTGATAGAAGGATGTGTAAAAAGTAAGAAAAAAAAATCCATTGTGATGCACTGTCCAAAAAGCTAAGCTGAGACACACACACAAGCACTCTGTCAGCATATAAATATCTGTGCAGTAAGACAGCCCTTCTTGCGAGCAATGTGTTAAACATGTTTTATGTGCATTTTATTAGCAGCAACTGAACAAAACACAGGTGACAAAATATATTTTCAACAGATATATTTACAACAAAGACAGTTCAGGAGCAAACCTTCCCTTTGAACCAACCAGGAAGTATGAGGGTCAATACTGTAAGACACTGCCACCAAATGTTAGCTTAGAGTATAAACTCTGCTGGATCAAAATTACATTTTCCGACTAACAAAGATTTACATTCAGCTCAACCACCATGTATTTTGGTTCATTTCAATGGGGTTCAAAGAGTTTCACAAAACCAAGGCCAGTATTATCTAATTCCATTTGAGAACTGGGGTAAATATTTGTATATAATGTAAATATGACAACCACAAGCAAATATGTTACTTTATATTATTGCAGCTTTGAGATGGCGGTCAGCAAGGAACCGGTCAGCACGACACAGGAGGCCAAGATGAAGACGAAGCAGTTAGCTAACCCCTGAGGGAAAAGACAGGTGTTTAACATCACCTCTACTCAAAATATTCAGTTTCTACTTTTTCAGTTGAAGTTAATCAGAACTTCAAAAACATTTTTAATTCACAGTAAATGCCATCTACTGGTCAGTAGTTTTACAAGTAACCCTTCATTATGATGACTAAAGTCATGTTCTCCGTGGTAAACTGTGTGTGTACACTTACTAGTAAAGGATGTATCTGGATTACCTTAATTTCTCTGAACACCAAGGAACCCCACAGTGCTGCAACTAGACCGTATCCCTACAGAGAAGAAAGCACAAGACAAAATCTTTATTGAACACAAACCAACAATTCAAATCATTTACTTTTAAATCCAATGTTACATCTTGAAGGTCTCCCATTTTTAAACCAACCAGTGTACTTCACTACCCTTAGCTTTTTTTTTTTTTATGCTGTACATTCAAAAACATGCACATTCACTGATAATTAACATATACAGTATGCTACACACTGTCTATATTGTCTTAAGCATGGATGGATGAATATTTTCCCCTAAGCCTAGTATAACAAATACATTTAATTGGGTCAGTTTTCAACATGTGACATGAGGGATTTGAATAACAAGACAAAGATCAGAAGCTCGGTTAGCAGCCTATAGAGGCAAACATGTTCATTACACTCAATGACTGAAAGTGTTGGACTGTTTTCTATTGTCAGGGCCTTTCAGAACATGAAAAGCATGAATGTTAATGTAACAGTATGGGGAGTATGAGATGCAGGATGGCATTAGTTTTGCTCCACCAAGGGCCTAGAACCGCAGATTCAGCGATCACCAATTTGCTGATCTATAGTCCCCAGAGAATGAATCCTAATTATTTTTTGTCCATCTTACCTGGTGTTTTTGCTAAATTTCCATCAGACCAAAAATGTAAGTGTCAAAATATAATGTGAAGATTGTCATTGCATTTAGTGATCAGTCATGCTCTTCTGGGAAATTAACCTATTTTCATTCCTGACACTCCACACACTTTCCTGTAATATCACTATGACAGTATCACAATCAGAGACATCTGATAAACATCTCAACAGATAAATCATGCATAGCTAGATCTGAGTGTCTCAAATGAATTTCATCACACTACACAGGGATGTTGACACATGTTAAAACATAAACATCTGAAAAACACTGTACTTGACTTCTACTAAACAAAAATGTGAATTTTCTGTTAACACTGAGCAATGTGCTAATTTGAATCTGTCATTCCAAGTGGTGGTGAACAGAATCTATTTCCACTGACCAGCCCACTCAGCTGCCGGGACATGATGTACTTACTGCACTGACAATGGGAAAGGTAATGACTGCACTTAAGTAGTTATTGGCCAGAAACCAGCAGTACGTGGCCAATGCCCACATCAATCCCGACAACAGACCTGTAGAGCAAAAGTAGACAACAGTTTCCCTTGAGTCAAATGTATGGTAGGCAAGCAAGTAGAGTTCACAAGGTATATTCAAGTAGAAAAAAATAAAATAAGAAGAGGCGCCATTAAATGTAGACATCTATAATCTGTATATCCACACAATAGTGAGTTGGGCAACTGTCACAAATTGGAGAGGTTCCAGACAGACAGGTCCCTTTATTAAAATTTTCACAGAGTAACTGTAAAAGTGTGGACACTGGGATCAAGCCCCCTATGGTTCCTTGAAATTAAGGTCCACTCTGTAGCCCACCCACCAAGCTGTAAACCAACACAGCAGACCTTAACTGTAACTGCATGCCAGGTTTTGGGCCAGATGTGTTTGCCCCCAGCAGTTTTGCCTGAATCAACACATCCAAACCTCTTCCGAGAGGATGCATTTGCACATGAAGCTTGGCAAAGGAAACTGCTGCATTTCCTCGGATTGTTCTAGTCTTAAGTCAAATTAAAAGTATTGTCACACACTGGCTGCTGGTGCATGAGTGGTTCACAAAAATAAATCATCTAGGGGAAAAGGGTGTCAAACTGTAGCCAGGACCCCTAGTTTCTAGACTCCCTGTCTGAGCGGAATATGGTGATAAGACCACATGCTAATTCTGAGGCAGTTTGTGTAAACATGTGATTACCAGACATCGCCCCTCAAAATGAAAAGATGTCTTGCACCCGTTTACGGTCTGAATTTGTACATTTTCTTTTGATTTCCTTTTCAGACTGTTTCGTCTGGTAGATTTTTAGTGGCATAAAGTGGTGGTAAAGTAAAAAAACATTGTCAAAGCTTCTATTTGAACATCACAGGTTTAAATCTTTATTAATCTCCGTCTATAAATAAATCTCAATTTCTTTTCAGTAGAATGAGAATTTTAATCTCTTTGTAATAGAAATCAACTTATAACCTGTTATTGCCTGTATCACAAGACAATAAAGACAGCAGATTGTTACTCTTAAAAAAAAAAAAAAAAGGATTTACATTGGAAATATTACACATGCAAATTATAAATTTCTTCCTAACGAAAAATGACTCTTTGTACAAGGTAAATGTTCAGGATTTATATTGTACATTTGTACCTGATAAGGGCTTTTCACACTGCATATTCTTGCGGAGGACTATCCATAGAGTTGACTCTGGGATAACTTTGCCCCTATTCACACACATTTTAGGGATAAGTGTCTGCACACCCGACAAATGTTTACATTTATGTTATTTTAGCCCCGATGTGCAGTATAAAAAAAAAAAAAAGAGCTATAAAGTGTTTTAATGTCAATAACTCAAAAGATCATAGTTATTCCACAAAACCTCTGTCTGAAACTGTGTGTTACCCGGTAGGATGGCTCTGGAGTAGACCCTGGGCCTGTTTTTCATGGCAGCACAGTAAATGGCAAAGTACACTGTGCTTGCAACAAAAATGCCAGAGCACTGTGCATGGACATAATCCAGGTCTGTGAAGAAGTGGAAGAGAGAATTTAAAGTTTTACATAATTTGTTTATCCCTGTGGGTTTGCAATAAAATGAAGGTTAAATTGTCTTCCTTTGGTTTTGACAGTTCAGTCAAAATTCAAGTTATCACAGTTAAAGCTAAAATGATACAAATGAGTCTCTCAGTCAACGGGATATTAAACATCATTCTCTGGAGCATCCACTGTTATTTATAGACCAATAGTGTGAT